CCACAGAATATTGGATCTTCGTCAGTTAAAAGCCGTTTTTATCAAACACTTTGCATAACCTTGGAAGTTGCTTGTATTAGAGCGGGCTTCGGTTGCAAGCTATTTCGTTTTCTGGCTTATTTGGTCTACGCCATGATAAATAGGTCAGGTTTAACATTTCAACCGGGGGTACAGACAAGCAAAATCCTACCTTAATATGTTTATATGGTTATTATTTATGGCGTAAATCTTGCCATTTTCTTCAATTGTCAATTCTGGCACCAGTTCCAAGTCGAAAAAAAGGACTCAGTTTAAAGCAGATTTATGAATCTGTTGCAAATGCGAAGCAACATGCCTACCGTTCTCTCTCTATAATTATGTTAACCATAAAAATATTTGTTATTTACTGTACGATTTACATAAACACAAATGAATATTTAAAAGATTTTTACTTGCTGCGCTATAAGTGATTTTAAAAGTCGTAAAATTGTTGTCTGTACATGTGTATTTGTAAAGAAATTGATTTGCTCTTTACTCATTGTTCTTTCACGGTAATGATTATGAAAAATCTATATGTGTCATGTAGCAATACTAAACGTATTGAAAATTGAGAGAAAACAGAAACCCAAAACGGCAAAATTGACTTAGCTAGAATGTCCAATGAACGTGCACATTCAGGATCACTTCCATTTTTATGCTGTAAAGCGTTATGCCTCAACGCGGCAATTTCAAAGTCAAAGGGTATTCTTTTGTAAAGAGTTATTTATACGTATAACCATGATGTATATAACCTGTAGCAATGTTTAAGTATAATAGATTCAGCTTTTTAATACTGTGGCACTCGTTGATAAAAAATATTTTACATCCTGTTTTCATACCCACGGTAACCGTTTTTTGGTGAACTGGATATAACTTCGTTCACTTTAAGAACACTAAACACTATTTATTTTATTATTGCATTTACTTCTGATGATAAACTACATATCTAACAAATTTAGTTAATTATATCAGTCAATCGAGCCTTATCAGAGAGCTCACCAATACACATTGTAAAGAGAGGTAGGGAACGGAATATTTATGGTATCGAGTAGAATTTTTAACAATAATGTCTCTTCCAACTGAATAAAAACGATAGGGCTATTTGGACTATTTCTTATCGATGTGGTCATGGATGTAAATGCATGGATTATTGCACGCGGCATGACCTGCAGATGTCCTTAACAGGATTTTTGTAGCATTTTAAGATTAAGATTTAAAGAAGGACCACATATTAAAATCTAAAACATGATAAACATAATGCATATGCCAAATAAAAGGATTATCTGATATGTGAATAAAGAAGTAAGTAATTTGACAGTTGAAGAATAAAAATTGAATATACTCTTCAAATGTAATCGTAATTTTACTTAGCTTATGTTACCTATCAATAATTCAATGGACGCATCAGTGTCATATATGGACCCCAGTCGTGTTTGCTATTACATATATGTTAATGTAAATATTTATATAATTATTGATAATCATTGTGATGTCCGACTTTTAGAATGTTTTGTTTCAAGAAATTTGACTTTGATCGATGGCTGTAAATCATTTATCTGTTTACTATTTCCTACTTTGTTTACTCCACATGGCGTCCATTCTCGTTTTTTTATTGGCGACTCAGGGCTATTTTGGCCTTTTTGATAATATAGAGAATCATAAGTAACGCAACTAAGTAACAATACTGTCAGGTTTACACGCAAAGTTCCAAGTTATATGTAATGCTATTTAAAATTGTTCTACACAAAGAACAAAATCTGACTGATGATGAATATGCTTATAGTTAAATAAGCATAAAATGTGAACGTCATGTTAATGCGCGTGACAATTAGATTCAGGATTCTAATTCTAAATTGTGATTTTTGTTTATCAAACTTTATAGAAATTTATTATACGGCAATTCCAGAAAATATATACCTTTTCAAAGTCTCTCTTTTGAAGACAGAAGAACCTATTCGTCACCTTCACGAGTGTCAGTGTTGTCAGTTACTCTTTACAAAAAAATAGACTGAAAAAATTACCTTAAGCCTTTTTACAACACTCGCGTTATAGTGTAACCCTTTCTGTAGCATTGTTTTATTTTAACTCTTTCTCTCACTGACAGCACATTTATCTCTTATCAATTTCGCCATTGTGAAATAGAATAAAATCACATTTTACTACATAGGATAAGATGAGCAATACTTTAAACATCTTCAAAACGAAACCAAAATATTATTTTTCGGTCTACTATTGCGATACAAGTAAGTGTTATTGCTTTAAGGAACAATCAGTTTTTTCACAATCTCTTTGTGAAAGATCAACAATGAAACAGTAAATTGTAGAAAGAGAACGGTAGGCATGTTGCTTTGCATTTGCAACAGATTCTAAAATCTGCTTTAAACTGAAGTCCTTTTTTTCGACTTGGAACTGGTGCCAGAATTGACAATTGAAGAAAATGGCAAGATTTACGCCATAAATAATAACCATATAAACATATTAAGGTAGGATTTTGCTGTCTGTACCCCCGGTTGATGTAAACCTGACCTATTAATCATGGCGTAGACCAAATAACGCCAGAAAACGAAATAGCTTGCAACCGAAGCCCGCTCTTATACAAGCAACTTCCAAGGTTATGCAAAGTGTTTGATAAAACGGCTTATAAACTGACAAAGATCTTATATTCTGTGGAAAGCTTATATTTTTCCCCGTAGACTGGTGCATATCCCAAAGATATTGGTACATAAATAAAATATTTACGGCTATTTTCTTTTCCGAATCGAGCAATATTTGTCTTGGAAATGATGCCAAAAATGACGTAAATGTCACGTGGTATTGCCACATTGAGATTAGCGATTTAACACAATCATTGCAATCTTGTTTAGTGTAATTGGACATTAAATCCTTGTGATAATTTTGTAAATACATAAGCCAAAAAGAATCTAGTTTCCAGCTCATCAAATTATACTGTTAACTGTAAATTTGTTTTCAATTTGACCATAAAGTGTCTTCATTTCAAGTTAGATATGCATTAGAATTCAATGTGAATTTCTAAATTAATTTCATTTTGATAAATTATTAATAGTGCTTCATTACAATGCAATTATGATTATGAATAATTTTATTAAAAAAGAATTCAGAATTATTTTCGTATTCTATATATATTTAAATTGAAAAAAAAAAACAGAATCCCCAAAGAACGCTGCAAAATTGAAATTGTTGCAGGCTTGGTTAGACTGAGTCTGTTTTATTGATAGTAATGGAAACTGCAAGTGACCATCCACGCCCGGCTTAAGCAGAATACAACATTTCAATACAGAAATGGTGAAATTTTCAATTTAAAAACATCTGCAGATGTGTCCATAATGCGGTTAACATATAACCTTCAATGTGACACAGTAGTGTCATTTCATGAAAAAAGCCGTACGGTCCCCAAGTAAAAGAATTTGTGCCCTTTAGGAGAAAACAATGGGCTGACTTAATAAATTGGAATTTTGAAAGGGGTTCTGGGGTTATGAAACAAATCCATGCCGCAAAACAAAGATAATTCATAAATGCAATACATCGAATAGAAAAAAAAATGATAAAAGTAATCTTCAAAAGAATTATAGTACGTGAATCATTGTTTAAATGAACTTATAATGTCTGTCATATGTTACGGTTCGGAATATCCGTCCCTGTCCCGAGGGTACCACAGACTTTGGAGGTATCGAGGCATGCCAAGTTACCACCTATTGGTGGGTACCTTAGTGCGGATATTCCGATCCGAACTGCAAACATATGTCAGACATTTTTCTTGCATATTCTGCCATATAAGATATTCATTCATGTAAGTAAATGTCATTTCATTCGTTTACTATTCTCTTGCAAAAGCGTATGATTTCTTAGCATATAGTTTCCTTCTTAAATGCGCCAAAATGACGTCATTTTAAGGCAGTTCATTTAAAAAATGCACTAAAATGACGTTGTTGTATGACACGTGCCTCATCTTGCACCCCCATGCCAGATGAAATTTCCGGCATGGGTAAAACTAGCAGAAACGCTATGCAAGAATTAAGTTTCTTGCATAGCAGACTGGCATTTCCGTGAGTTTTACACAAGCCGGAAATTTCATCTGGCATGGGGGTGCCAGATGAGTCGCGTGCCAAACAACAACGTCATTTTAGCGCTTTTTATGAACTAACCAAGTTAAAAATTAATGACGTCGTTTTAGAAGGGAAATTTCTTGCATAGCAGACTGGCGTTTCGTGAGTTTTACCCATGCCCGATGGATATTCCGGTCCGAACCGCAACATATGACAGATATTATTAATGTACTTAGGATGGCGTCATTTCGCCGTTGTTATTTAAGTTGTATGTTCATACGCTGTTGTAAGAAAATAGTTATTTTCTGTGAGTTTTACCCATGCCAGAAATTTTCCCATACCAGATGAGTCGTGTGCCAAACAACAACGTCATTTTAGTGCACTTTATGAATGAACCGTGTTAAAATGACGTTGTTTTAGAAGGGAAATAATATTATGTGCTTAGGATGACGTCATTTCATCAGTTATTGTAAGAAAATAGTTATGGATGAAATGACTTTAATTTATCTAAACATATATCATATTGAGGTAAATAATTTTAAATATGAAATAATATAGCAGAATATGCAAGAAAAAATATCTGACATTTGTTTGCAGTTCGGATAGGAATATCCGTCCCTCGGGAATCCGACCATAGACAGTCCCCTGAATAGCAAATAGTGCAGATGACACAAGTATGTCGGCTTATCTTGGTCTGCACACATGAGTTGATGAATAACGGATAAGATAAATATATATTGGTATTAGCCTGATGAAGGTCATTATATGACTGAAACCGGTAGATAAATAAAATAACGTAAACCCACTTTGGTGTTTCTGATGTGTTGTTCTTCATCCCTTCCTTGATTACTTAGTAAGATAAATATATATTAGAAAACACAATCGCATTTCACAATTTGACCATAACCGACTAATTAAGTTTATCAAGGAAGTAATACTGAAACAGGAAACCTCGGCTGGGATTCATTGAATTTGATATAATCTGATATAGTGACAGCCAAATTATATTTATATCCCTTGTTACATAGGAGAAGACAGTTTTAACAAGTGAACAATTTTAAGGAATTTAATTCAGGTACATGTACAGTATTTTTAACAATTTATTTTATAGCTTAAATAATCAGACTTCAAACACATAAATTACTTTGGTTTATTTGTTTTTGTTAACATAGGTTTTGTCAGACTCTGTAAAGTAATGTTAGCAAGTTTGGAAAGTACAGTAGCAACTTATTAAATCTAAGGAAGCACTATAGGCTGATATTATATAATAATAATAAGGGAATGGCTGTTATCAACTGATTTATAAGCAAGTGCTTGACTTTAATGTTTATATTAAATTATGATACTAGTTGAGAGTAATGTTTCTCACCTTGAGTTTGGAATCACACATTTGGTTAGTTTTTTAAGCTTATATTCATTTTAACTATATTCATGAAACATTTATTTATCAGCAGCATCATTTCCACACCTTCCCCCACTCACCCCAGCTTTTCTATCATAAACAGACAAAAATACAAACATATATCTGGATATTAAGAAAATAATATCCCCTTTTTCAGTCTAGAATTTCTGTAATGTTTTTTTTAACCAACCCATTGTTTCAGTATGACCCCACCTCAATTTAACATGCTTAAGACAACAGTACATAATTCTTGTCATGGAATTTGATAAAATAAAAGCACCTTTTTAGTTAAGATAGAATATAAGATTTGTTATACTCTTGTTTTGCCAACTTATATCTGATATACTGCATAGGGGGACTGCATGTTCATGTCTTCCTGGACTTGTTAAGGTGGAAGTTTGTCATATGACATTAACAGTGCTGAGGTGATTATAACCAAACTCAGTAAAAAATATTACAGGCTTGCAAATGTTTACATTTCCAATCTGTCTCTTGTTGTTCTTTTTTAGCTCACCTGAGCTAGCTCAGGGTAAGCTTTTATGATCGTTGAATGTCAGTTGTATATCGTCTGTCCACATTTGTTCGTAAACACTCTAGCGACATAATTGTCATCAAACTTGGTCAGGATGCTTGTCTAGGTAATTGCTCGGATGAGTTCGAACATGGGTCATCTCAGATGAAAAAGAAGGTCACAGGAGCTAAAAATAGAAACATCTTATTAACTCTCTAGTGGCTACTGTTTTGATCCAAATATCCTGGAAATTGGTTTGAAAGTTTGTTTTCATGATTTCTAAGTCAAGTTCGAATATGGGTCACCTGGGGTCAAAAAATATGTAACAGGAGCTAAAAATAGAAAAACATTGTAAACACTAGTGGTCACATTTTTTTGTGTCGCCTTGAAAAAGGCGACATATAGGTGTTACTTTTGTCGGCGGCGTCGTTGTCGGCGTCGGCGTCCCCTTAAGCTTGTCCGGAGCATAAGTCAGTCATTATAAGTCGGATTGACTTCAAACTTGGTATGCATGCTTCTTACAATGACCCGAAGTGCAGTGCACAAGAACCGGTACTCTGCACTTCTTATTTTTTGAGTTATTGCCCTTTGTTAATTTTCATACTTTATTTTTGTCCGGGCCATTTCTCCTCAAGTATAAAAGCTATGGACTTGAAACTTCATAGGATGATAGATCTCATTAAGGAGAAGTGCAGTGCACAAGAACTGGTACTCTGCATTTCTTATTTTTTGAGTTATTGCCCTTTGTTTATTTTCATACTTTATTTTTGTCCAGGCCATTTCTCCTTAAGTATAAAAGCTATGGACATGAAACTTCATAGGATGATAGATCTCATTAAGAAGAAGTGCAGTGCCCAAGAACTGGTACTCTGCATTTCTTATTTTTTTGAGTTATTGCCCTTGTTAATTTTCAAACTTTATTTTTGTCCAGGCCATTTCTCATAAATTATAAAAGCTTTTGACTTGAAACTTAGTAGGATGATAGATCTTATTGATAAGAAGTGCAATGCATAGAAACTGCTGCTCTGCATTTCTTATTTTTTGAGCTATTGCCCTTTGTTGATTTTCAAATATCATTTTTGTCCAGGCCATTTCTCCTAAACTATATTGTTCACAAGGCGACACATCCGACTCGCGGAGTTCTAGTTGACATAATTAGATGAGTGCGAACATGGGTAATTTCGGATAAAAAAATCTAGGTCACAGGAGGTAAAACTAGAAAAACATTGCTAACACTCTAGTGGTAACATTTTTGACATAATTGTCATCAAATTTGGTCAGGATGCTTGTCTAGGTAATTGCTCGGATGAATTCGAACATGGGTCATCTCGGATGAAAAACTAGTTCATAGGAGCTAAAAATAGAAAAATCTTATTAACACTCTAGTGGCTACTGTTTTGATCCAAATATCCTGGAAATTGGTATGAAAGTTTGTTTTGATGATTTCTAGGTCAAATATGGGTCACCTGGGTTCAAAAACTAGGTCACACGGCTCAAATATGGAATATCCTTGTTAACACTCTAGTGGTCACATTTTTGACTCACCTATCATGAAACTTGGTCAGAATACTTGTCTAGTAAAGCTCGGATGAGTTTGTTAGATCAGGTGAGCGATCTAGGGCCATCTTTGCCGTCTTGTTGTAATATCAGATTGGCATGCTCTGGTAAATAGAAACAAACAGACAATGGTACAATTAATACGCAACATGTTTATGCTAAATTTTAGGTAAAACATGGCGGTCCCAGGAAAGAAAGCATCAAAACAATTTTCATCATCTAGAGCATCCCTCGCATCAGATGAAGATCATCAAATTTACTGCCAGCCTTGTGATGAGGAAGGAACTAGACTCCCTGCTCATGGTTACTGTACTGACTGCAAGGAACACCTTTGCAAAACATGCTTTACAGCCCATAAAAAACATAGGCTTTCCAAACATCATAAACTTCTGGATGCAACAAGTATGCCTAAAGTTTTGCAGCAACCCTCAACATCCATCCACACAGGCCTGTCTGATGATCTTACAACACCCTGTTGTAAACATTCACAAGAAATCATCAAGTTCTACTGCAATGACCATAAAAATTTACTTTGCAGTGTTTGTGTTACCCTTGAACACCAACCTACTTCCTGCAAAGTTGATTATATACCTGATATTTCTGGTTATATAATAGACAGCAAAGAATATCAAATTATCTTGAAAGCACTAAATACCACTTTTGATCATTATCAACAGATGGTAGAAGATGCCAAGGAAATGACAGGGAAATCGAACAGATCACTAAAAGATGCACTTGAAGATATTAAAAAGTTTCGGAAAGAAATAAACCAGAGACTTGATGAACTGGAGAGACAAGTTGTGCATGTAGTCAAGGTCACAGAACAAGAAAATAACTCAAATATCACATCAGTAGAAACATCGTGTGAAGAAGTTACCAAATCTTTGAAGAGATCTTCAGAAAAAATCAAACAACTCAACACATCAACACAAGCTAATACACTCTTTATGGAGCTTAAGATAGCAGAAAAAATGATGGAAGATGTTGAGAAAACTGCACTACACCTTTCAACATATGATGTCAAAGAGCACAACTTTCAAGCAAATAAAACAATATTAACCAAGCTTATAACAGAGAGGTCATTAGGTACATTGACACAGAAAACATTAAATAAAGAATGTCAACCTATACAAATAAAAACTAGACAATCTTCAAATGAGGGAAAAATCTGTGTGAAGACATCAAAAGATAAATACAGATGCTGTATAACAGGAATGACTCTGCTGACTCCTGATCTTCTTATCATCACTGACTGCAATAACAATGCTGTAAAGATGGTGGATACCAGCAGTCAATCTGTGTCTGATCAACTACAACTAGATGATGAACCATGGGATATCACCACAGTAACCAGTACTGAACTTGCTGTCACACTTCCTGACAAACAAACAATACAGTTTATATCAATTTCATCAAACAAACTCAAAAAGAGGCACACTGTGAAGGTTGATGGGAAATGTTATGGTATAAGCTGTTATCAAGGTAAACTTGTTGTGTCATTCAATAATCCTGCAAAACTGCAGATCCTTGATATGAATGGCACTATACTGTCAACAATTGATGGAAAAAATATTTTCAAACATCCATTGTCTATCACAAGTAACAGAAGTTCAATCTATGTATCTGACTGGGCCATGAAGACAGTAACAAAATTAAACTGGCAAGGTGATGTGGTAGGTAGTTATAGAGGTATGAGTTATCCTACAAGAATGTCACTGTCAGATGATGGTAATATCTTTGTGTGTGATTGGGAGAGAAATGTTATAGAAGAAATATCAGAAGACTGTTCTACAGGAAAAGTTGTGTTGGAGAATCTGAATAATCCCTATACTGTTTGTTGGTGTGGTGAAACAAAGAAGCTGTATTACAGTTGTCGCAGTTTGAATGAAAAAATTGATAACTTTCTATACATTAATGAAATGTCATAAAACATATACCAATCTATTATATGAAAGGTGTTAAATCTTGTTATCATGTAAAGTTTGCATTCAAGCTGCTCTAAACAACCATTATGCGTTTACCTATTTCTACAAAAAGAAAAACTAAACTTGCAAACACTAAACCATACACACTGAGTGAAAACAATGATTATTATCCTTCATATATCAAAAAGAAATGTGTGAAACATGTCACAAAACTAAATATGAAGTGACAGATATTCCAATATTACATTTGTATGGCAATTCGTATAATATTTCATATTTTAGTGCCATTTACACTGTAAATATGTAAATGTGTTTTATTTCATTCTTCTTTATTAAGTACATGTTTTATTATTATTATTATTAAATTTCATGCTGTGTTTTTTTTTGTGTTTTTTATTAAAAAAATGTATTTATATTTTTCTCATCAAAATGCTTAATACATGTATAAACTGTTCTTATTGTTTAAGCATTAATTCATTTTGTAAGACTTAAGTAATATTCATTCTTTAACTACTTAATTTTGATAAAAAGGCATTTGTAAATACTTTATGAAATAAGTATCTTATGATAATAAAAAAGACCATTAAAAACATATTAATCTGACTAAACTGCGGTAATACTTTGAGACAATTTACATTTTAAAAACAGCTTTTTTGAAATCATTTTTTAAAAAAGCTATTTTGACAGGAAATGAGTTATTTTGACATATTTTGGAGTGAAGTAAATTCATGTACATATATATTCATTATTTGGTGTCCTTTCACACAGAACGCGAGTTGTTATCTTTTGTCTGTACCATAGAGTTCCCCATTATATAAAAAATATAACTTAAAGGCCCATTCAGCCTAAAAAATGCTTTCATTTGTATTCTTCAAAACCTTTTAATTTAGGTGTACTTTCATAGTATTCTAAAAGTACCTCATCGGTCAATTACCTATCTCTTGCACTCTGGCAACTAGAACAGATAAAGTGATTAAGTATTTTGTATGGAAGCCAAAATAGTACTTTGGTAACAATATTGCTACTTTTATCAAAAATCATTTCACTTTTTCTGATTTCTTCTTATATTCTCTAAAACCAGTATTTAAGCATTATGAAATCCATGTTTGACCTTTCTGAAAAGGCATTATGTGTTAACCTTAATATATGTGTTTTGTAAAATAATCACATGATCTGATTAGTTAATTATTAATAATCTTTCATCATTTGAATAATGACCAAACTGTGTTTATTGGATAATTGCAGCTAAGTTACAGCGCAACTTCTGACTCAAGTTTGGGATCTGTCCGAGTTTTTGCCTAGTCACTATACAATTTACAACAAGAGCCATGTCAACATGGCCATCCCCCGCCGAATGTGTTTGCTCATTGGAAGAATGTATATGTAGTAGAGCGGAATAATTCCATTTTAAGAGGTCTTTTGGTAATGAAAACTGATGGCTATAGTGATTACAGATTTGAAACCTATGTGAATACTGATGGCTGAAAATAACAAAGGGCAATTACTGAAAAATAATGCAGGGTAGGTTATCATTCTTGTGTGCTGCATCCCTCCTCAGTAAAATCTATCCACCTATGAAGTTTCAAGTTGATACCTCAAATACTTTTTGAGAAAAAAATTGAATTGAAAAATTAAGTATGAAAAAGAACAAAATGCAATAACACAACAATTATAAAAGGCAGAGTTATCATTCTTGTGCAGTGCACACCTCCTGAGTGAGATCTATGCACCTATGAAGTTTCATTTTGATATCTCAAAGGCTTTTTGAGTTATGCTCTGGACAAAAATTAATTTTGAAAAATAACAAAGGGCAATAACTCAAAAATAATGCAGGGTAGAGTTATCATTCTTAAGCACTGCACTCCTCCTCAATGAGATCCATCCATCTTTGAAGTTTCAAGTTGATACCTCAAATACTTAGATAATCTTAGATAAGCTCTGGACAAAATAGCATGAAAAAAAAAACAAAGGGCAATAACTCAAAAATTGTATAGGGAAGAGTTATCATTCTTGCGCACAACATTCCTCCTCAATAAGATCTATCCACCTATGACATTTCATGTTGATATCTCAAACACTTTTTGAGTTATGCTCAACTCAGGTGAAAAATTAGGTATGATAAATAACAAAGGGCAATAACTCAAAAATTATGAAAGGTATAGTTATCATTCTTGTGCACTGCACTCCTCCTCAATGAGATCCATCCACCTATGAAGTTTCAAGTTGATACCGCAAATACTTTTTGAGATAAAGTCTGGACAAAATAGAATGAAAAATAACAAAGGGCAATAACTAAAAAAATATGCAGGGTAGAGTTATCATTCTTGTGCACTGCACTCCTCCTTAATGAGATCCATCCACCTATGAAGTTTCAAGTTGATACCTCAAATACTTTTTCAGACAAGAGCCATGTCAACATGGCCATCCCCCGCCGAATGTGTTTGCTCATTGGAAGAATGTATATGTAGTAGAGCAGAATAATTCCATTTTAAGAGGTCTTTTGGTAATGAAAACTGATGGCTATAGTGATTACAGATTTGAAACCTATGTGAATACTGATGGCTGAAAATAACAAAGGGCAATTACTGAAAAATAATGCAGGGTAGGTTATCATTCTTGTGTGCTGCATCTCTCCTCAGTAAAATCTATCCACCTATGAAGTTTCAAGTTGATACCTCAAATACTTTTTGAGAAAAAAATTGAATTGAAAAATTAAGTATGAAAAAGAACAAAGGGCAATAACTCAAAAATTATAAAAGGTAGAGTTATCATTCTTGTGCAGTGCACACCTCCTGAGTGAGATCTATGCACCTGTGAAGTTTCATTTTGATATCTCAAAGGCTTTTTGAGTTATGCTCTGGACAAAAATTAATTTTGAAAAATAACAAAGGGCAATAACTCAAAAATAATGCAGGGTAGAGTTATCATTTTTAAGCACTGCACTCCTCCTCAATGAGATCCATCCACCTATGAAGTTTCAAGTTGATACCTCAAATACTTTTTGAGATAAGCTCTGGACAAAATAGCATGAAAAAAAACAAAGGGCAATAACTCAAAAATTGTATAGGGAAGAGTTATCATTCTTGCGCACAACATTCCTCCTCAATAAGATCTATCCACCTATGACATTTCATGTTGATATCTCAAACACTTTTTGAGTTATGCTCCACTTAGGTGAAAAATTAGGTATGAAAAATAACAAAGGGCAATAACTCAAAAATTATGAAAGGTAGAGTTATCATTCTTGTGCACTGCACACCTCCTGAGTGAGATCTATGCACCTATGAAGTTTCATGTTAATATCTCATAGGCTTTTGGAGTTATGCTCTGGACAAAAATCAATTTTGAAAAATAACAAAGGGCAATAACTCAAAAATCATGCAAGGTAGAGTTATCATTCTTGCGCACTGCACTCCTCCTCAATGAGGTCTATCCACCTATAAAGTTTCAAGTTGATAACTCAAATACTTTTAGAGATATGCTCCGGACAAAAATGTCGGACGGAAGGACGGACGGAAGGACGGACGGAAGGACGGAAGGTCGGACGGACGGAGACTATTTCTATATCCTCCGCCGAAATTTTTCGGCGGGGGATAATAAGCTCTGGACAAAATAGCATGAAAAAAAACAAAGGGCAATAACTCAAAAATTGTATAGGGAAGAGTTATCATTCTTGCGCACAACATTCCTCCTCAATAAGATCTATCCACCTATGACATTTCGTGTTGATATCTCAAACACTTTTTGAGTTATGCTCCACTCAGGTGAAAAATTAGGTATGAAAAATAACAAAGGGCAATAACTCAAAAATTATGAAAGGTAGAGTTATCATTCTTGTGCACTGCACACCTCCTGAGTGAGGTCTATGCACCTATGAAGTTTCATGTTAATATCTCATAGGCTTTTGGAGTTATGCTCTGGACAAAAATCAATTTTGAAAAATAACAAAGGGCAATTACTCAAAAATCATGCAAGGTAGAGTTATCATTCTTGTGCACTGCACTCCTCCTCAATGAGGTCTATCCACCTATGAAGTTTCAAGTTGATAACTCAAATACTTTTAGAGATATGCTCCGGACAAAAATGTCGGACGGACGGACGGACGGAAGGACGAACGGAAGGTCGGACGGACGGAGACTATTTCTATATCCTCCGCCGAAATTTTTCGGCGGGGGATAATTAAAAGCAAATAATAACAAAAAGCGTCACAAATTAAAATTTGCATTCAAAAATCCTACTAAAGATAGCAATAATAATATTTTGCTGTAGAACATTTTAATTTGTTAACAAAATAATGCAATATTCATGTTTCTTAAATAGCAAAGATATTCTGTTTCAACTGTTTCAAGAATCAACCACAACAATATGGAAACAACCTAACTGTTTATAGATTTTATTTAAATAATTCATTAGAGATTTAGCTTCATAGCCTTTATCATTTTCTTGTGGATTTTGTCCATTAATGGTTATAATTCTGCTCCTTTTTTATAGTCTGCTAGGAAATGATACATGAGATTTGTTTTCAGTGGTAAAACAACAACAACAACAACAACAACAATGGTGTAAAATTAATGCTTATTTTTATAATCTTTTATTAAAAGGGCCTGTTTAATTGTATAGTTTATTGTTATGGATAAACTCGTATTTGTAAGTCCTTATGTATGATGCCTGTATATTCTCTGAATGTTGTCAAAAAATGGGGACTATACTCTACATTTTCTTATTTCGAAAGTCAAACACACTGGAGAAAGAATATTGTAGGAAGAATTGTTTAAGGAAACGTAATGTCTTGTAAAAAATAAGAATTCTATATTTAACAAAAGGTTATTTATTCTTAAATTATTCTTCATGTTGATGATGTTATAAAATATGTTTAGACTCAGTATGTTTCACATTTTTCCATCATTATTCATAATTAAGTTATGACTATTAAAGCTAAATTTAATAATTTGACCTTGATCAAAGTCTGGTTCAAAGGTCAAGGACACATTTAAGTTAATCGTAATGTCAGTTGTGTCATTAGTACTCTTTTGTCTTAAAATGAAGTAAACCTATTAAATCTATTAACTAAAGCAAAATGCAATGATTACAGGTAGAGGTCATTTATTCGTTAAAGTATGAATCAAGTCTGTAAATTAAGTTATGGCAATTTCTGATGAATTTCATACATGGACCTCGATAATCAATTTCATTTGAAGGACAAGGATATATTTACAGAATTCAACATTTTGGTTTTATCATATTCTTATTTTTATAACTTTTGATTTTGATTTTGGATCTATTATTTGGTCCGAATTACTCTCCTAAGGAAGCGTAGGTCCGAATATAACAAATCAGGCAAAATAGAATATTGAAATTACAAAAACAAAAAATAACAGCCAGAATTTTTAAAATATAACTGTTAAAACCAATTCTCCTAAAATGTGTTAAAACTGAAACGCTTATTTTTCCACCTAGATGTATATATTTTTTCGGGATTATGGTGTTTAAAGCAATGAATTAATTAAAACCAGCATATGTCAGATCTTATCCTGTTACTTCAGAATAAAACGTATTTACTAAGATCATCGCAGAATTAAAAACTCAATGCATAAACGACCTAAAACAAATCATTTGAAACATACTTATTATTATGCTTGTATGAAGTTCGAGAACAAATAAGAAATTTTTCAAGTCTACAATTGTTAAAAATAAAATATTGCATTATATATGTTTTCTTTGATGCTTTGATGTATTGTCTTAATAAGCTATTCTTGTTAAATAAAGAGTATTATTATTATTTTTTTAAGCCAATTATTGCAAAGTCAAGCAAAATTCATGAATTATTCAAAAGCTGGTTTGTCGCCAAATGATCTTCACTGTGTTTAGATTAACTCACTATAGAAAATTATGTGACATGTGAATGTACAGCCTTATGTATGTTGGCTGATTTGTGCCATTCGTGTTTTCGCCCCGCGACCCCGCTAAGCGAAAAGTCGAGAATAACAAGTTAAAACGGCAGGGGTGCTGAACTTTTTGTACTGTTAAACAGTCACAATTGTCAGAAACTTCAAAGTCACTTGTCACTCGACATTTTGTAAATTTAAAACAAAGGAATTACACATATCACAAGACTTTTATGCAAGTTTCATGTAATTTATTTAAGAGAATAAACATGAGATTTTATCACATACAACAGCTCACAGGAATCATGCAAAGTAAATGAATGTAGCTTACAATAAGATATATGCAAGGCTTACTTTTACAAAGGTTTCTTTTAACATATTTTAAACTCTTGTCTTTTGACTCAGTAAAATCTTTAGACAGTACAGAGATAAAACAAAGTGACAGATATAAAACAAAGTGTATATGAGGTGATACACAGTTAAATAAATTTGTTGACAAATTCTAGATTAACAAGAGCCATGTCAACATGGCCATCCCCCGCCTAATGTGTTTGCTCATTGGAAGAATATATATGTAGTAGAGCGGAATAATTCCATTTTAAGAGGTCTTTTGGTAATGAAAACTGATGGCTATAGTGATTACAGATTTGAAACCTATGTGAATACTGATGGCTGAAAATAACAAAGGGCAATTACTGAAAAATAATGCAGGGTAGGCTATCATTCTTGTGTGCTGCATCCCTCCTCAGTAAAATCTATCCACCTATGAAGTTTCAAGTTGATACCTCAAATACTTTTTGAGAAAAAAATTGAATTGAAAAATTAAGTATGAAAAAGAACAAAGGGCAATAACACAACAATTATAAAAGGTAGAGTTATCATTCTTGTGCAGTGCACACCTCCTGAGTGAGATCTATGCACCTATGAAGTTTCATTTTGATATCTCAAAGGCTTTTTGAGTTATGCTCTGGACAAAAAATAATTTTGAAAAATAACAAAGGGCAATAACTCAAAAATAATGCAAGGTAGAGTTATCATTCTTAAGCACTGCACTCCTCCTAAATGAGATCCATCCATCTTTGAAGTTTCAAGTTGATACCTCAAATACTTTTTCAGATAAGCTCTGAAAAAAATAGCATGAAAAAAACAAAGGGCAATAACTCAAAAATTGTATAGGGAAGAGTTATCATTCTTGCGCACAACATTCCTCCTCAATAAGATCTATCCACCTAGGACATTTCATGTTGATATCTCAAACACTTTTTGAGTTATGCTCAACTCAGGTGAAAAATTACGTATGAAAAATAATAAAGGGCAATAACTCAAAAATTATGAAAGGTATAGTTATCATTCTTGTGCACTGCACTCCTCCTCAATGAGGTCTATCCACCTATGAAGTTTCAAGTTGGTAACTCAAATACTTTTAGAGATATGCTACGGACAAAAATGTCGGACGGAAGGACGGACGGAAGGTCAGACAGACGGAGACTATTTCCTCCGCCGAAATTTTTCGGCGGGGGATAACAATGCATGAATATATGAAAATCAAGTTTCTAAAATGGACTTATTTAGATAAACCAATGAAAACAAAAAAAATGAAATAAAGAAAAGTTCTTGATCAGAATAGCTTAACAAATCAATCACTTTAAAAGCAACCCAGAATTAAGTAAATGAACACAAAAGAATTTGTTAACTAAGATTATTATATTATATTAAGAGAACATAGATTAAGAAGAAAATCTAGTTTAAAAATGATGAAGTAATTAACAGTGATCAAAACTTCATGGCAAAATAATATTAATTTACTTAAGTATTATTTCAGGTGATGGAAAAAAATGAACTACTGCAATAACCTTTTCAGATATGTTTGTACGAGGGTTGTCCAAAAAAATTGTGCACTGCAGTTATTGTCGTGAGAGTTATCGATAGAAAACATGAATTATATATCACTTGAAGGTATAAAATTAAAAGGGCACGCAGGACAAGTTCAGTGTCACAAAGGCTGGTTTTTAAATTCTGGTTTAAAATTGCACAAACGCTCTGTAGAGGGACGAGAGTTGGTAGCTGATGACAACCGGTCAGGCAGACGTCCGGCTGTAATGCCGGCTGGGATGTCCAATATATTCGTGCATTGGTGGAATATGTTACATGGATGTTGCATAAGAACAATGTGCGGGGGTATTTCTTTGCATCAATCATTCCTCTATTTACAGTAAACAAATAATAACATAAAAAGCAAATGCCACTTTACAAGCAACAAACAATTAACACAATTACAGTAATGAACTAACCCAATTCGTTTTCGTGCGCCGGTATTACGTTACTAAGGTAACTTAATGACCATTCTTTATCACGACACGCCGGTTACTCGGCTTTTTCTTTTGTTTTTTTATTTTAAATAGATTTTCCCTTCAAGTGATATATAATTCATATTTTTCTATCAATAACTCTCACGACAATAAATGCAGTGCACGAATTTTTTGGACAACCCTCGTAACTAATACATAATGATCAGAGGTTAACAAAACAATGTAATAATTATGAAAATGAATAAGATATATATTAAATTAAATTTCACAAATAACTAATACTAAAGGAGTATTTATAACTTTGTCAACTTCGAACTAAGATATTTATTACATTTCAAGTCTAATGTGTAACAATATTGAATAAGGGAGATCACTCAAATTCAGTGAAACAAAATTATTTGACAATTGCAGACTTGGTTTGATATTATCTGTTCATAAGCTTGCATTAATTTCCCAACCTCAAGGCCTAGTTCTTTATAAAAAAACAAACATTAACTTACAAATATGGAAGTATTATGAAAATCATTGTATAGTGTCATAAACAAGAGCTGTCCGTAAGACAGCGCGCTCGACTTTTTTATTGCTTGCCAATAAAAAAAGTTTTTGCAGTAAAAGGCAATACAAGAATCTCTGTATTTTTAAAGTGAACAATGGCCATGAGCATTAAGATATTTAGTGAAGAATTATTTTACTGAATTGTGTGATACCCTTGAACACTGCAGCAAAGTTTGAAATGTTTAAGTCAAAAGAGGGCTTGGTAAGAAGAAAAAAAAAAACTGAGTTGAGCCTTAAATAAATTTAATAGTATTAAACCCACTTTGAGAGAATAAGGTTATTTTTACGTCACTCAGAACACCTTGGTAAATGACATAATAACATAATTTTTCAAGAAATCTATGCCAAGGAAGCAGTATATATTTTTGTACAATCAGCATAATATATAGATTTGACTTTGTATGTGAAAGTATTATAGTTACCTTATAATACAAGTAATAGATAAATTTTATCAAGCTTTTTTAGATGTTGTCAGTTGGTCACAAGTGGATCTCTTTCACACAGGCTGTGGGTGACTGGTTACTTTTCGTGGGTCCACTATGTAGATAATGCGTTGTAAACTGATATTTGAATTACATGAAGGAAGTTCAATTCATTATTTAATGTCATGCTAAATGTTCATGAAATCGTGACATTGAGTATATTTTTACCAATTGGGGCATCTCGTTGAACACATTCATTTTTAGATTTTTTAAGTTTTTTAGTGCTTGCCTATAATACAAAACATTGACAGTTAAGGGCCATAATTCAAATAAAATCTTTGACAGAATTACCTTCTCCTGGACATGTTTGGGAATCATGATTGTAAACAAGTATTCCAACTTTCAAAATTAATATCTCAAACAGTTCAGTCAAAAAGTGGACTGGTACTAAAAACTTAACCAAGATTCTAAGTCGATAAAAGGCCTTAATTTTTAAAACAAATCCTTGACAGAGTTACCCTTCTCTTGCGTACAGATGGGGGTAATGATGTGAAATAGCATTAAAAGTTTCAAAGCAATATCTCAAAGGGTTAAGGCAATAAGTGGATTTTACCCATATTCAATGTATTTTCTAAGTCAAAAAGGGGCATAATTCTGTCAAAAACCTTGACAGAGTTATGTCCTCTTGTCTGTTGATGAAGGTCGTGATGGTAAACAAGTATGGTCAGTTTCAAAGCAATACCTCCAATGGTTTTGAAATAAAATGAGGTGGTACAAAAAACTTAAACCAAGCTCATACACTTTCTAAGTCAAACAAGAGCTGTCCGTAAGACAGCGCGCTCGACTTTTTTATTGCTTGCCAATAAAAAAAGTTTTTGCAGTAAAAGGCAATACAAGAATCTCTGTATTTTTAAAGTGAACTAGTTGTTTGATACCCTTGAATATTACAGCAATGTTTATATGACATAATTTATGGTAAAGTGAACAAGTGGATAGGAATGAATTTTTTTTAGATTTTTTAAGTTTTTTAGTGCTTGCCTATAATACAAAACATTGACAGATAAGGGCCATAATTCAAATAAAATCTTTGACAGAATTACCTTCTCCTGGACATGTTTGGGAATCATGATTGTAAACAAGTATTCCAACTTTTCAAATTAATATCTCAAACAGTTCAGTCAAAAAGTGGACTGGTACTAAAAACTTAACCAAGATTCTAAGTCGATAAAAGGCCTTAATTTTTAAAACAAATCCTTGACAGAGTTACCTTCTCTTGCGTACAGATGGGGGTAATGATGTGAAATAGCATTAAAAGTTTCAAAGCAATATCTCAAAGGGTTAAGGCAATAAGTGGATTTTACCATATTCAATGTATTTTTCTAAGTCAAAAAGGGGCATAATTCTGTCAAAAACCTTGACAGAGTTATGTCCTCTTGTCTGTTGATGAAGGTCGTGATGGTAAACAAGTATGGTCAGTTTCAAAGCAATACCTCCAATGGTTTTGAAATAAAGTGAGGTGGTACAAAAAACTTAACCAAGCTCAATACACTTTCTAAGTCAAAAAAGGGCCATAATTCTGTCAAAAACCTTGACAGAGTTATGTACT